ATTAAGCATTAATTTATTACTTAGTTAAAAATATCAAATGAAACAAAAAAGTAAATCACTTTGTAATGTGGGTAATCCTTAATAATTAATTCAATAAGAGTCAAAAAATCGTTTAATCGAGAAATCGAAAAATTGAAAACTTAGAATCATCAAAAATTTAAGAATTAAAAACTCGAAAAATATAAAAATAGGAAATTTGAAAAACCGTAAAACTGAAACATTGGAAAATTGAGGAATCGAAAAAATCCAAAATTCGAAAATGTATTTCCCAGATTTTTTTTTAAGATTTTTTGGTCAATTTTTTCAAAATCTTAGTTTTTCAATATAAATTTTCGGATGAGTTTTTTTTATTTTTAAAAACCTGAAAAATCGAAACATTGAAAAGTCGATACATCAAGAAATGAGAAAATCAAAAAATCGTTTAATCGAGAAATTGAGAAACTGGAAAATTGAAAATTTAGAAACACCAAAAATTTAAGAACCAAAACTTGAAAAACCGTAAAACTGGAACACTGAAAAATTGAGAAATCGAAAAATTGAAAAATCCCAACACCGAAATATTGAAAAATAGAAAAATCGAGAAATCAAAACCCAAAATTTAAAAATTCGAAAATGTACTTCACAGAATTTTTTAAAGGTTTTTTGGTCAATTTTTCAATATTAATTTTCGAATGAGTTTTTTCAATTTTCGGTTTCTCGAATATTTGATTCATCGAATTTTTGCTTTTTCGACTTTGATTTTGAAATTTCGAATTTTTCCTTTTTCAGATATTAAGTTTTCGAAATTTGGAATATCCGTTTTTTCGATAATTCGACTTTCGATATTTCGTTGCTTTTGTAGGTATTTCGTTCATTGGTTTTTTTGATTTTTCGAATTTTTGATGTTTCGGGTCTTCGATTTGCGATTATTAAATTTTCGGTTTCCGATTTTTCAGATTTTCGATTTTCGAGTAGTTGATTTTTCTATATTCGAATTTTCAGTTATATTATTTTTCGATTTTCATTGAAGAATTGAAATACTGAAAAATACCAAAATTGAAATATCGAGAACTTGAACAATCAAGCAATCGAGAAGTCCCAAAATTGAAAAATTAAAAATTCAATAAACTGAAAAATCGAAACATTGAAAAGTCGGAACATCGAGAAATGGGAAAATCAAAAAATCGTTTAATCGAGAAATCGAAAAATTGAAAACTTAGAAACATAAAAAATTTAAGAATTAAAAACTCGAAAAATATAAAAATAGGAAATTTGAAAAACCGTAAAACTAAAACATTGGAAAATTGAGAAATCGAAAAAATCCAAAATTCGAAAATGTATTTCCCAGATTTTTTTTGAAGATTTTTTGGTCAATTTTTTCAAAATCTTAGTTTTTCAATATAAATTTTCGGATGAGTTTTTTTTATTTTTAAAAACCTGAAAAATCGAAACACTGAAAAGTCGATACATCAAGAAATGAGAAAATCAAAAAATCGTTTAATCGAGAAATTGAGAAACTGGAAAATTGAAAATTTAGAAACACCAAAAATTTAAGAACTAAAACTTGAAAAATCGTAAAACTGGAACACTGAAAAATTGAGAAATCGAAAAATTGAAAAATCCCAACACCGAAATATTGAAAAACAGAAAAATCGAGAAATCAAAATCCAAAATTTAAAAATTCGAAAATGTACTTCATAGAATTTTTTAAAGGTTTTTTGGTCAATTTTTCAATATTAATTTTCGAATGAGTTTTTTCAATTTTCGGTTTCTCGAATATTTGATTCATCGAATTTTTGCTTTTTTTGACTTTCGATTTTGAAATTTCGAATTTTTCTTTTTTCAGATTTTCAGTTTTCGAAATTTGGTATATCCGTTTTTTCGATTATTCGAGTTTCGATATTTCGTTCATTGGTTTTTTTGATTTTTCGAATTTTTGATGTTTCGGTTCTTCGATTTGCGATTATTAAATTTTCGGTTTCCGATTTTTCAGATTTTCGATTTTCGAATGGTTGATTTTTCTATATTCGAATTTTCAGTTATTTTACTATTCGATTTTCAATGAAGAATTGAAACACTGAAAAATACCAAAATTGAAATATCGGGAACTTGAATCAAGCAATCGAGAAGTCCCAAAATTGAAAAATTAAAAATTCAAAAAACTGAAAAATCGAAACTTTGAAATGTCGGAACATCGAGAAATAGGAAAATCAAAAAATCGTTTAACGGAGAAATCGAAAAATTGGAAACCAAGAAACATCAAAAATTTAAGAATTAAAAACTCGATAAATATAAAAATAGGAAATTTGAAAAACCGTAAAACTAAAACATTGGAAAATTGAGAAATTGAAAAAATCCAAAATTCGAAAATGTATTTCCCAGTTTTTTTTGAAGATTTTTTGGTCAATTTTTCAAAAATCTTAATTTTTCAATATGAATTTTCGTATGAGTTTTTTCAATTTTCGGTTTTTCAAATTTTCAGTTTTCGAAGTTTGGAATATTCAATTTTTTCATTTTCGATTTTCGGATTTTACAATTTTCGATTATTCGACATTCTATAAGTGTTTCATTGCTTTTGTCGGTATTTCGTTCATTGTTTTCTTAATTTTTTTAATTTTAGAACTTTCGGTTCTTCGATTTGCGATTATTAAATTTTCGAATTTTCGGTTTTCAGATTTTTCAGATTTGCGATTTTCGAATATTTGGTCGATTTTTCTATATTCGAATTTTAATTTTTTTTACATTTCCATTTTCATTGAGAAATCGAAATTTGGAAAATACCAATATTGAAATATCTAGAAACTGAAGAATGAAGAAATCGAAGTCGCAAAATTGAAAATTTAAAAATTCAAAAAACTGAAAAATCGAAACATTGAAAAGTCGGAACATCGAGAAATGGGAAAATCAAAAAATCGTTTAATCGAGAAATCGAAAAATTGAAAACCTAGAAACATCAAAAATTTAAGAATTAAAAACTCGAAAAATATAAAAATGGGAAACTTGATAAACCGTAAAACTGAAACATTGGAAAATTGAGAAATAGAAAAATTGAAAAATTACAGCACCGAAATATCGAAAAATAGAAAAATCGAGTAATAAAAATTCAAAATTCGAAAATGTATTTCCCAGATTTTTTTTGAAGATTTTTTGGTCAATTTTTCAAAAATCTTAATTTTTCAATATGAATTTTCGGATGAGTTTTTTCAATTTTCGGTATTACAAATTCTCTGTTTTCGAAACTTGGAATATCCAATTTCTTCATTTTCGATTTTCGGATTTTACAATTTTCGATTATCCAACTTAATATATTTCGTTGCTTTTGAGGTATTTCGTTCGTTGTTTTTTTTGATTTTTTGAATTTTTGATCTTTCGGTTCTTCGATTTGCGATTATTAAATTTTCGAATTTTCGGTTTTCAGATTTTTCACATTTGCGATTTTCGAATACTTAGTTGATTATTCTATATTCGAATTTTCAATTTTTTTACTTTTCAATTTCCATTGAGGAATCGAAATATTGAAAAATACCAACATTGAAATATCTAGAAACTGAAGAATGAAGAAATCGAAGTCGCAAATTGAAAATTTAAAAATTGAAACACTGAACAATTGAGAAATCTAAAAATTAAAAATTGTTCGACGATTCGCTGCTTTTATGTTTTCTGGACGTTTCATTACCCCTAGAGTACGAAACAATAGGTCTCCCGTTTCCGTCGGTCTGTCTACTTTCTGTATCGAAATTTGAAACTGAAATAAAAAATTCAAAAAATAAAAATTCAAACCACGAAAAAACAAAAGCTTGAAGAAACGAAAAATTTTAAAATTCAAAAGACGAAATATCGAAAATTGAAGAAGTGGAAAATAGAAAATTTAAAAGGGCGAAAAATTAAGGAAGCGAAAATATTCATAATTAGAAAAATGGAGAAATTAAAAATTCGAAAACTGAAGATGCTAAAAAAGAAGAAATAAAAAATTGAAAATTCAAATCATGAAACATGGAAGGTGAAAAATGCAAAAATTAAAAAAAAATGTAACATGGAAAAATTGCAAAATCGAATTTGAAGAAATGAAAATTTGAAACATAAAAGAATAGAGAAAATGAGAAATTTTAAAATGAACACTCCAAAAATTCAAAAGAAGAAAATTTGAAGTCCAAAAACTAATAGGTGAAAAAAAATGAATCACATTCGACTCCACAGTGCCATTCTAGGGGTAGTGCAGTATTAGACGATTAAAAACTTTGTAATCTGAAATGTGTAAAACTTTGACGATTCCGTCAACACGTGTCTAAGTTCTAATACAATCTAACTAAAATTATTTTATTTATAACAATTATATGTATAATAATTAAATTATTACATTCACCATATATATAGTATCTCACTCAAAATTTAAAATGTTTGATTTATCGCATTTAAACTAATATTAAACGTCGATCTATTTTGAGAGCAAGAAACTTGGAAATTGCCTCAACTTAACACGTGTATGTGACTTTTGTATGTCAACAATAGCAAAATGAACAAATTGAAGTTTATCGGTCGCAGAGGACGCGAACAAGTGTTGCAGCTCGTGAATCTCGCTGAAAACTGAAATAAGCTCGATCGCTTTGATCAGAGTTATCGATCCTGTAACCGTGGTCTATGATTTCGATACACAGATATTCAACCATTTGTAACATTAACCCAGAAATATTAATTTTGTGGTACTACATTCTACATACACTTAAATTTAAATACAATGTTAAAAAAATAATGCGTATGTAAATAAGTAATAAAACACGTCAGCATGCCGAAAATGAGTTTCAAATGACCATTGTCCCGCTGTGAAACAATACAAAATTTTATGCATGAAATTTTTAGCGTTAATAAAAGATACGCAGTTGATCCCTATGATGTCTCTACTATTATAATTTCACGAGCAAAAATTGTAAATGAGTGGTCAAAACCATAAATTTTATCTATACAGACGATTTTTTTTTCTAGTTTCCAGTCGAATTAGTGTTGAAAACTGTTTAGTACTGAAAATGAGCTCCACATGCAGCTACAAACTACAAACAGTGTGGCCCAACGTTATACTAATGTCCTTGTATCATTATTTTGCCGTACTAGGACTATATTACATACTTAGCCTAAATCTAAGATGGCAAACCTTTTTGTTTCGTAGGCATCGAACCCAAAATCCACAACTTGTAACAAGTTTTTTCAGTTTTACTACTAGAACAGGTAGGAGTTCTAGGAACCACTACGGGTGCCCACAGGTTATGGAGCCACAAATCCTACAAGGCCAAACTCCCCCTCAGAATCATCTTATGTCTCTTTCAAACTATAGCTTTCCAAAATAGCATCTTCGAGTGGTGCCGTGACCACCGGGCACACCACAAATTCACAGACACCGACGCCGACCCGCACAACATCAACAAGGGCTTCTTCTTCGCCCATATGGGGTGGCTGATGGTACGAAAGCACCCAGACGTCATCAGACTTGGCAAAACCGTGGACATGAGCGACCTGGAAGCTGACTCGGTCGTACGATTCCAAAAAAAGTAACCCAAACAATCAACAAAATTAACGAAATCAGATTTACATAGTTAACGTTTTGTAGGTTTTACGGAATTCTGGCACCAGTTATGTGCTTTTTGGTGCCAACGGTGGTACCTTGGTACCTTTGGAACGAGAATTTGTACGTAGCGTTTTGCACAGCTGGGATGTTTCGTTATGTACTTAGTCTGCATTTTACTTGGATGGTTAACAGTGTAGCTCATACTTGGGGTACTAGGCCATACGACAGGTACTACCAGGAAACTGTAGTGTCTTGGTGGTTATTTGGATTTCTTTAGGTCTATTAAAGCTTCAGAAAACAAATTGGTGTCATCGTTGACTTGGGGCGAAGGTTGGCATAACTACCATCATGTGTTCCCGTGGGACTACAAAGCAGCAGAGCTGGGGACGGTTGATAATTGGTCTGTGGTTTTTATTGAAATCATGGCCAAAATTGGGTGGGCCTATAATTTAAGAACTGTCTCAGCTGGAATGGTACAGGGAAGAAGAGAAAAAACTGGTACTGATTTCGACTCGTCACACTGGTAACTTCAATGTTATACCTGCAGAACGTCGTACTTAAGAATTTTTAGTTTATCCAGTATTACAAATTTGATTAAATATTATAGTTAGTGGTATACTAAGTATAAACAACATAGTAAGGTTATTATGTATTATATTGTGTTAAAATAAAAGTACCCGATAAAAAACTGTGAGTTTGGTTAAGATTCGCTGTGACGGTCGATTCGATATCCTCCGTTATTTTAATACCCATCTTCTTAAGTCGGCGATTTCATAATTTCTATATACGTTACATAATGAAGGAGAGGACAAAATTATTCAGCTCATGATACCCACTTCTATGTTAATTTGTCCAATCATTTAAAAAGTAGACTGTATAATGGTTTATTTTTTATGATGCACTATATACTTTTTTTTTACTTTTAGTTTCTTCAATTTTTCATCGTTTGAATTTTTCATTTCTTCATTTTCTTTGATTTTTCATTTCTTCAATTTTTCAATTTTTGTCTTGAATTGTGCAATAATTCATTTATTCTTTTTTCGATTTTTCAACTTTTCAGAATATCAATTTTTAATCTTTTGATTTTTCCATTTTTCGTTTATTAAATTTTTCGTCCTTCGAATTTTTCAATTTTTATTAGATTTTTTTCGAATTTTCAAATTCTTGATATTTAATTTCAATTTTTTCTCTTTTGAATTTTTCATTTCTTCATTTTCTTCAATTTTTCGATAATTTGTTTCTTTTTATCTGTTCAATTTTACAGATTCTCAATTTTCTATCTCGAATTTTCAGATTTTTCATTTCTTCAATTTATCATCTTACGAATTTTTCAATTTTGTATTAAATCTTTTCATTTTCGAGTTTTCAGATTCTCAATTTTTAATATTTCATCTTTTGAGTTTTTCATTTTTCGTCGTTTGAATTCTTTTTTTTTTCGATTTTTCAGATTCTCGTTATTTCATTTTTTCTTTTCGATTTTACTATTTTCCAGGTTATGATTTTTCATCTTCTGAATTTCGCTTTTCAATTTTTCGTCTTAAATTTTTCAATTTCTCTTTTTTTTTTGAATTCTTAATTTTTCGGATTCTCAATTTTGGATCCTCCGAACTTTCGTTTTTCGTCTTTCGAGATTTTTTATTTTTCTATTTTTTATTTCTACCTTTTGTATTATTCAATTTTTATTTCTTCTTTTTCTCGATTCTTCAATTTTTCTTCTTTTGAATTTTTCTTTTTTGTTTTTTAATTTTTCATATTTTCCATTTTTCGTCCTTAATTTTTCAATCATCCGTTTCTTCTTTCAATTCTTCAGTTTTTCAGATGGTCAATTTTCTATCTTGAATTTTTCGATTCTTCGTTTCTTTTCATTTTTCATAATCTCGTCTACATTATTTTTATTATCTTTCGAATTTTTCAAATTTTTCATTAAATCTACTTTTTTCGAGTTTTCAGATTTTCAATTTTTATATTTCAATTTTTCGTCTTTTGATTTTCTTCAATTTTTCTTTCTTTGAATTATTTTATTTTCGATTTCTCAGATGGTCGTTTATTAATGTCTTACATTTTTCAGTACGTCATTTCCCCTTTTCGATTTTTCGATTTTCCAGGTTTTAATTTTTCATCTTCTCAAATTTTAAATTTTTCGTCTTCTGAATTTCAGTTCTTCAATTTCGTAATTTTCCATTTCCTCATTTTTTTTCTTCTAAAATTTTTCAATATTTTTTATTTTTCTATTTTTCACCTTTTAAATTCTTCAATTTTTCGTTAATTGAACTTTTCGATTTTTCTTGTTTAGAATTTGTACGTTTGATTTTTCGATTGTCAATTTTTCGAGTGTCAGTTTAAAATTTCTCAATTTTTTGATTTTTCAGATTTTTTTCATTTTTCGTTTTCAGTGTTTTGAATTTTTCAATGTTTCATTTTTTCGATGCTCTGGTTTTTCATTTCTTCAATTTTTTTTATTTTTCAATTCCGGTTTTTCAATTTTTCAATTTCTCAACTATCAATTTTTGGATATTTCATCTTTTGAATTTTTATTTTTTAATTTTTCATCTTCTGAATTTTTCAATTTTTCGTTTTTCCAATAATTTTTTTTATATTTTGACTTGAATTTTTTATTTTTCGTTTCCTCTATTTTTCGATTCTTCAATTTTTTGGATTCTCGATTTTTCATATTTTGAATTTTTGAATTTTTTGTTTTTTCAAGCTTCCGACTTTTAGTATTTTGAATTTTTGAGTTTTTCGATTTTCCAGATTCTCGATTTTTCATCTTTTAATGGATCGTTTATTCAATTTTTCATATTTATAGATTTTTTTATTTTTCAGATTTTTTATTTTAAATATTCAGATGTCTCATCTCTAGAGTTTTTCTTTCATTTTTTGTCCTTCGAATTTTTTATTTATTTTTCTTTCCTTTTTTTTCACTTTTCATTTTTTCAGATTCTCGGTTTTTTTCTCTTTTTGGCGTTCAGTCTTCTGAATTTTTCAATCTATGTTACTTGAACTTTTCGGATTCTCTTGTTTTGAATTTTTCAAATTTTTATTATTTTTTTTTCAATGTTGCGGTTTTTCATTTTTCAATTTTTCGATTTTGTAATTTTTACATTCTTCAGTTTTTCTATTTTGCATTCCTTCGATTCATTTTTGTTTTTTTTTGTTTCTTCAGTTTTTCATTTTTTGATTTCTTTTTTTCCATTTTTCAGATTGTCGATTTTTAATTTTCCAGTTTTTGACCTTTTGAATTTTTAAAATTTTTCATTTCTATTTTCTTCAATTTTTCGATTTTTTAGATCTCCTCTTTTGAATTGTTCATTTCCTCTTTTTTCGATTTTCAGACTTTCGGTTCTCTTCTGAATTTTTCAATGTCCCTCTTGAATTTTTCATTTCTTTTTTTTTTAATTTTTTATTTCTTCATTTTTCAATATTTCATTTTTTCTTCTTCATTTTTTAAGTTTTCGTCTTTTCAATTTCATTTCATCAATTTCTTTATTTTCATTTCCTCAACCGTTCAATTTTTCATCTTGAAATTTTACATTTTTCTAATTTCTTTCGATTTTCGTTTCTCGTCTTTCGAGATTTTTTATTTCTACCTTTTGGATTATTCAATTTTTATTTCTTCTTTTTCTCGATTCTTCAATTTTTCTTCTTTTGAATTTTTCTTTTTCATATTTTCCAATTTTCGTCCTTAATTTTTCAATCATCCGTTTCTTCTTTCAATTCTTCAGTTTTTCAGATGGTCAATTTTCTATCTTGAATTTTTCGATTCTTCGTTTCTTTTCATCTTTCGTAATCTCGTCTACATTATTTTTATTATCTTTCGAATTTTTCAAATTTTTCATTAAATCTACTTTTTTCGAGTTTTCATATTTTCAGTTTTTATATTTCAATTTTTCGTCTTTTGATTTTCTTCAATTTTTCTTTCTTTGAATTATTTTATTTTCGATTTCTCAGATGGTCGTTTATTAATGTCTCGCATTTTTCAGTATGTCATTTCCCCTTTTCGATTTTTCGATTTTCCAGGTTTTAATTTCTCATCTTCTCAATTTTTAAATTTTTCGTCTTCTGAATTTCATTTCTTCAATTTCGTAATTTTCCATTTCCTCATTTTTTTTCTTCTAAAATTTTTCAATATTTATTTATTTTTCTATTTTTCACCTTTTAAATTCTTCAATTTTTCGTTAATTGAACTTTTCGATTTTTCTTGTTTGGAATTTTTACGTTTGATTTTTCGATTGTCAATTTTTCGAGTGTCAGTTTAAAATTTCTCAATTTTTTGATTTTTCAGATTTTTTTCATTTTTTGTTTTCAGTGTTTTGAATTTTTCAATGTTTCATTTTTTCGATGCTCTGGTTTTTCATTTCTTCAATTTTTTTTATTTTTCAATTCTGGTTTTTCAATTTTACATTTTTCCGATACTTTTTTTTATATTTTGACTTGAATTTTTTATTTTTCGTTTCCTCTATTTTTCGATTCTTCACTTTTTTGGATTCCCTATTTTTCATATTTTGAATTTTTGAATTTTTTGTTTTTCAAGGTTGCGGCTTTTAGTATTTTGAATTTTTGAGTTTTTCGATTTTCCAGATTCTCGATTTTTCATCTTTTAATGGATCGTTTATTCAATTTTTCATATTTCTAGATTTTTTATTTTTCAGATTTTTTATTTTAAATATTCAGATGTCTCATCTCTAGAGTTTTTCTTTCATTTTTTGTCCTTCGAATTTTTTATTTATTTTTCTTTTCTTTTTTTTCACTTTTCATTTTTTCAGATTCTCGGTTTTTTTCTCTTTTTGGCGTTCAGTCTTCTGAATTTTTCAATCTATGTTACTTGAACTTTTCGGATTCTCTTGTTTTGAATTTTTCAAATTTTTATTATTTTTTTTTCAATGTTGCGGTTTTTCATTTTTCAATTTTTCGATTTTGTAATTTTTACATTCTTCAGTTTTTCTATTTTGCATTCCTTCGATTCATTTTTGTTTTTTTTGTTTCTTCAGTTTTTCATTTTTTGATTTCTTTTTTTCCATTTTTCAGATTGTCGATTTTTAATTTTCCAGTTTTTGACTTTTTGAATTTTTAAAATTTTTCATTTCTATTTTCTTCAATTTTTCGATTTTTTAGATCTTCTCTTTTTTCGATTTTCAGACTTTCGGTTCTCTTCTGAATTTTTCAATGTCCCTCTTGAATTTTTCATTTCTTTTTTTTTTAATTTTTTATTTCTTCATTTTTCAATATTTCATTTTTTCTTCTTCATTTTTTAAGTTTTCGTCTTTTCAATTTCATTTCATCAATTTCTTTATTTTCATTTCCTCAACCGTTCAATTTTTCATCTTGAAATTTTACATTTTTCTAATTTCTTTCGATTTTCGTTTCTCGTCTTTCGAGATTTTTTATTTTTCTATTTTTTATTTCTACCTTTTGGATTATTCAATTTTTATTTCTTCTTTTTCTCGATTCTTCAATTTTTCTTCTTTTGAATTTTTCTTTTTTGTTTTTTGATTTTTCATATTTTCCATTTTTGGTCCTTAATTTTTCA